CAATATAACACTCCAAACTCACAGCACTGGAACCATACGAATCGCTGCTAGCAGCCGAATAGGAAAAGCACCCAAGCGGCGTACACTCCTAGCAATCAGTCTCTGTCAGCATTCAGTAAATCCCCCAAAGACGAGACAAGGCTCTGTGTTGAGGGTCAAGCAGTGGTCTGTTTAATTAGGGCTACCTGCACAGTATTTATGCAGGTCTCCCACCTGGTGGACACTCCCCTAGGGGACCAAATGGGAGACTGTGACAAAAGACAGACAATCAGCAAAATAGGACACACAGTCACATTATATTCCCACAATGCATCCTGGCTTCCTCCCCTCTGCACTGGAGATAATTGAGAAGTAATTCAATTATCTCCCAGGACAAATGCAAATCGCCATTATGCACGTGGGGATACTAAAATAAGAATTACTATTAAAATACACTATGTGACACAAGTTACAATAAAACTATACATTTAACATATCCCCAGATAGCTCAGGTCTGAGCGCACATTATTAAGCGAATGGCGCTCAGACCACACAAATACAGGTCAATCGCCATGGAACCAAAGTCTTCACAAAGTCAGTTCTCATACGAATGCGCTCCATGGGATTCCTATCTGGGGTATAATGCAGTCAGGTACAACTACCGAATACTGGGCCGTTCGTGCACTTCCACCGAACAAGAAGGGAGGTCGGCGGATTCAGCGGTGTTCGCGCCAAACTGTGTCCGTTTTTAATTCCATGAGTTAGGCGTCGAACACCGCTGTGCGTTCGGGTGTTTAAAATGGCCGCGACCTCGTGTTCGGTATACGAATGGCGGCCACCCAGTATTCTTCAATTAAGCTGCGGTTAACCGCAGCTTCTGGGAGGCTAATTGCCGGCACACTCCAGCTCCCAGGTGGTCTAGTCATTCGTGCGGTTGTTCGGTAGATTGAATCACGGGGCAGAAAAGCATGAATAAGTCTTTTATGCAGGGGAAACAAGGTCTTTTAACATGGGGCCATAATCCAAAGGCAGCAGGCGAGCAATCAGGCTTCTCCAATGCAATGTGGCGAGATTGCTCTTGTCACAGGTAAACATGGTGTTTTCCATTCGTTCCCTTTTTTAATCCTAATTAGATTGTATGCGCTCCTAAATCAAGCCTGGTAAAAACCTTACCCATTTTAATCTGTCACATAGTTCAGATATGAGTGGTATAGGGTAAGCATTCTTTATGGTTACTTTGTTGAGCGCCCTGCAATCTATACAGGGGCGTAGATCACCCTCCTTTTTAGAATCAATCAAAAACTCTGCACCCGCTGGAGAAGAGGATCTACATATGTGACCCTTAGTCAAAGATTCCTGTATGTACCCCTTAAGGGGAGACTCTACCTATCATATGATTGTTCTATAGATCTATATTACCGGCAATAGATCTATAGAACAATCATATGATAGGTAGAGTATCAGCATGGACCTTGTTAAACACTTCTTTTTCATCCCTATATTGAGGGGGAACCTTAGTTGAAAGCGGAGAGGCAGTAGGCACATTAATAGTACTCAACTGTTTGGCAATAGGCACAAGGCATCTGTTGCTACACTTTATCCCGTTTCAATATTTCCCCTTTCTTCCAGTCAAAGCATGGCTCATGTTTGACCAGCCATGGAAAACCAAGTACAATAGGGCACAAATGTGAAGAAATAACCTGGAAGGTGGTTAGTTCCTTATATAAGGTCCCTACTTGCAACAAAATAGGAAAGGTTTAATTAGCAATGAGCGTTTTTTTAAGAGGTCTACCATCTATGGCCTCAACGGCCTAAGGTGTTGACCTCTCCTTTAGAGGTATATCGTGTGTGGACACAAAGTGAGCATCTACAAAATTATCTGCTGCTCCTGAGTCAAGTAGAGATTTGGAATCAACCCCGATATTATGTGACAGGATGGAAACAGGAAAGAGAAGTCTAGTGAGAGGTATAGCAGGCGACATATGCATAACACCCAAGGCTGGTCCGCGAATGTTTATTAGGTGTGCGAGTTTTCCGGATGTATCGGGCAGTTGTTTCTCATATGTCTTTTTTGGCCACGATACATACAAAGGCCCTCAGTTCTCCTATATGGTCTCTCGGTGTCAGACAATTTCATTACCCCTAATTGCATGGGTTCTGGTTCAGCAACTACCAAAGGAGGCTTTTGGATAACAGGGTTGGAAAACCGAGGAGCAAGAGGTGTGCTATTTCTTCTGGACCTATTTCTGATTCTATCCCTCTCTCTTAGCCTGTTATCGACGTGCATCATGTAGGTGATGTAATAGATAGACTGGATAGATTGGGGGACTGGGCACTAAAATTGCAGATTCAATTTAACGTAGAGAAATGCAAACTTATGCACTTCGGGGTTAAGAATGCACAAGCAACTTACACCCTAAATGGTAGTGTACTAGGGATAACCACACACGAGAAGGATTTGTGAATTGTTATAGATAACAAATTAGGCAGCAATATGCAATGTCAATCTGCAGTTGCTAAGGCCAGTAAGGTTTTGTCTTGTATAAATAGGGGCATAAATTCTCGGGTAGAAAATATAATTTTGCCTCTTTATAAATCGCTGGTAAGACCACACCTTGAATGTGCTGTGTAATTTTGGGCACCTGTTCTAAAGAAGGATATCCTGGCACTAAAAAAGTCCAGAGACGAGCTACAGAATTGATAAAAAGAATGGAGCATTTTAGTTCCGAAGAAAGGTTAAAAAATTTAAATCTCTAGTTTGGAAAAACGGCACCTCAGAGGCGATATGATAACATTATACAAATATATTCGGGGCCAGTACAAACCATTATCTGGAAAGCTATTCATAAACAGGGCAAATACTTGCAAAAACATACCATACAGGGATATCATTTCTAGACATGTGCAATTCGTTTCGGTCCGAATTAAAATTCGGCGGAATTTCGGGTAATTCGGATATTTGGGTGCTTCCGAATAGCTGAATTGCCGAAGTGCCGAAATTACAGAATTTCTGAAGTGTAGTAGTGCCGAAGTGCCGAATTTGCCGAAGTTCCGAGGTGTCAAAGTGCCGAAGTTCCGAAGCACAGTATTGTCTATAAAGATTACTTAGTATTAGTAAATTATGCCACTACTCCCTATATCGCGAGTAGGGGCATGTCTATTAAACAGTGAGCAGCCTGTGACTGTTAAAAAAAAACCCTATTAGCCCCCCCCGGCCCCCACCCCTGAGCGGCGGGTGGGGGCCCTAAAGTAAAAAAAGGGGGGAGGACCTAATGTCCTCCCCCTTGACCCCCACTCCTGAGCGGTGGGTGGGGGCCCTAAATAAAAATTAGGGGGGGGACCTAATGTCCTCCCCCTGGCCCCCACCCCTGAGCGATGGGTGGGGACCCTTAATACAAATGGGGGGGACCTAATGTCCTCCCCCCTGGTCCCCATGCCTGAGTGGTGGGTGGGGGCCCTAAACAAGAATAAGGGGGGACCAAATGTCCTCCCCCCTGGCCCCCACCCCTGAGCGGCGGGTGGGGGCCCTAAATACAAATTTAACCCTCCTCCCCTAGGTGACTAGGGGTCCCCAAACCCCTAGTCACCCCCTCCCCCCCCAAAAAAAAATAACCCCTACCTACCCCCCTCACCCTAAAAATAATGGGGGGGGGACCTTTAACTAAGTACCTGTAAAAATAAACTTACCATTTGATGTTTTCTTTCTTCTAAAATCTTTTTTCAGCCCCAAAAAAGGGCAAATAAAAATCCATAATAACCGACGCAATAAAAAAAAAAAACTGAGCGCCAAAAAACCCCACCAAAATCCATCTTCAACCGGCGAGGGCTCTGCGCAGACTGAGCTCTGCATGGCAGGGGAAGGCTTATAAAGCCTTGCCCCGCCCTGCAATTAGGCTCCGAGCACTCTGATTGGTGGGTTTAAGCCATCCAATCAGAGTGCTCTGACAGGTAAATGAAGAGACTGACAGGTAAGTCTCTACATTTACCTGTCCCAGCACTCTGATTGGTTAGCTTGAAATCCACCAATCAGAGTGCTCTGGGCCATTTTACACAGCGTGGGAAAGTTCTTTGGAATTTTCCCACGCTGTGTAATTTGACTCATAGCACTCTGATTTGTGGATTAAGTGGGGACCCTTTTTTTTTTTTTTTTTAACAGTGAGCAGCCAAGGCTGCTCACTATTTAATAGACACTGTTTACTAGACACTGTTTACTAGACATGCTATACCGCGAGTAGGGGCAAAATTTACTAATACTAAGTAATCTTTACTTAGTATTAGTAAATTTGGCTGAAAGGCCAATTCAGGTCTTTCAGCCTTTGAGTAGATAGCTCCCTAATACCGTGGGAATTAGGGAGTTATCTACTTATTCATTCCTGTCATTACATTGACAGGCTAAGTAACTTACATTTTATATGAATGTGTGTTACTTGATTGTTGTAAGTGTTGCAAACGCTTACAGCTGAATCCTGGCTATGTTTGTATACTTATTATTTAATTATTTAGTATTAGTAAATGTGGCTGAAAGACCAATTTAGGTCTTTCAGCCTTTTGGTAGATAACTCCCTAATAACGTGGGAATTAGGGAGTTATCTACCAAGCGGCTGCAAGAGAAGTCCCGAAATGCCAGAGTTCCGAAGTGTCTAAGTTGCCAAAGTGTCTAAGTTGTCGAAGTGTCTAAGTTGCCGAATTGACGAAGTCCCGAATTTCTGAATGCTGAACATTTTCCCCATGCACATGCCTAATAATTTCTAATTAGTGGGGTAATAGCTGCTTGATCCAAGGAGACATCTGACTGCTATTTTGGGGTCAAGAAGAAATTTTTTCCTAGTTTGTTGCAAAATTGGAAGCGCTTAAGACTAGGTTTTTGCCTTCTTTTGGAACAACAGCAAAAACATATGTGAGAAATAGTGATGTCCCGAAGGGTTCGCCCAACGGTTCGCCACGAATGGCGAACATATGCGCTGTTCGGTCCGCCCCCTATGTCATCATTGAGTAAACTTTGACCCTGTACCTCACAGTCAGCAGACACATTCCAGCCAATCAGAAGCAGACTCTCCCTCCAAGACCCTCCCACCTCCTGGACAGCATCCATTTTACATTCATTGTGAAGCCGCATTCTTAGTGAGCTGTCCAGGAGGTGGGAGGGTCTGGGAGGGAGGGTCTGCTGCTGATTGGCTGGAATGTGTCTGGAATGTGCTGATTGGCTGGAATGAGTTCGGCGAACCGTTCGGGACATCACTAGTGAGAAAGGCTGAACTTGATGGACGCAAGTCTCTTTTCAGCTATGTAACTATGTAACTATATTTTATCTGGCAAGTCCCTGGCAGCTACCTCATTGAGGATGGTATCGGACAAGCCTTCTGCGAAGGCGGTAACAAGGGAACTGTTAGTCCAATCCACCTCTGAAGCAAGAGTACGGAACTCCATTACCTTGTTTTATGCACATGAGTGCTTTGGCAGCATCCTTCTTCCCTAACAGCTCGAATGTAGGTTTGAATTCCGCAAGGAACTCAGCATAGTCGTAGGCGATAGATTTATTGCCCTCCAATAATGGATTGTCCTAGGTCAATGCCTTTCCGATCAACTGTTTCATTAAATACCCTATTTTAGATCTGTCAGAAGGGAATGAGCTAGGAGGGGCTTCAAATAGGTATTCTATCTGGTTTAGAAAACCACAACATTTCTGTGCATTACCACCAAAACGAGGGGGTAGTGATAGAGAAATAGAAGGCGCCTTGTACACAATAGGAACCACCGCAGCAGAAGGGGGTGGGACTGTTTGTGGATCCTCTGGTTGGAGCTGGGCAGTACAGGTCAACAAAGGCCTGGGCAAATTGACCCATACAGTGATCAATTTCTTCCACCAATTCTCCAGGGACTCATTTCTACAGGGTCCCTGGCCCTGTCGTAATGTCAGTGTTGTGGAAATAAGGTCTGCACATATTTCCTAGTTAGTGAAAATGTCTATTTACTCATTCCACGATATACATTATAAAGCTATACACACATATTTTAACCAAGATGGCTGCTAGAAGCTTCTAACCCTCCCCCCCCCTTCTCCCTTTAACACCAACTAACTACCTCGTGCAGAAAGATGGCGCCGGGAAACCCTGGGAGACCCTCATGGTCCTGGTGACATCACCCTCAGTAGGCAGAGCATTAGGGAGACCACTTAACACCTAACCAATTATTGATGTATTATTCCATGTTATCTCTGACAATGCTTATGATGTAATTTTGCTTTAAAAGGGACTTGCCGTCCCCTCTGAATAAACATTCCTCATGTTATTCAACAACCTGGAACCTGTGTCTGGTGTGAATTACTTCAGGGAGCGTGCACGCATTGTTTCATTGATTTGGCCAGGGGCAGATACACAAAGAAATAATCAATACCTTGATTGATTTTTCCATTTCAGTCAGCACAAAACAGTGGCCCAACACGCAGAATTAAGTCAAACACTGAAAATAATAACCTAAGGAAAAACGTATAACCGGGCCTTAGAATGGCCGGAACTAACGTATATAGAATAACCAGTAATGAGCCGAGGTCAGGGATACAAACAAGCGTAAACGATAAACAAAAGCCAAAGGGTCAAGAAGCCAGAAATACGGATTGTCAGAACAAGCCAAAGTAAACAGTAAACAAAAACGCGCTCTCTGATATCCAAACAAAATAGAAACCACGACAGGGCAAAAAGTATTAATAGCCTATACCTAAATGCTATTGGCATGTGGTTTCAAAATGTGGTTGTGCGCCGATGATGCGGCGCAGCATGTACATTTTGACCTTTGACACTGCGGTAACAAACTCTCCTGCATTGGGAGCTGTGACACTCGGGAAATGAAGGAGACTGGGTATAAATAGATGGATTGGGGGGAATGAAGGAGACTGGGAATGATTGCTTGGACTGGGGGGAATTGGGATTGTAATTGGATCAGGGTGCCGGCTCCCAAACACTGGATCCAGACTAGAACCGGTTACTATGTTCATCTCTTCACCATGCCACCAGGGACCTCCAGAAGCTACTGCAGTAACCTGGTACAATATGGCTGCTATCCTAGCAGTCTGAGCTTTCCCAGTGATATCTACCAACCATCAGCCAGATACTGGTTTATGTGATGAATATCTTAGACAAGACTGAGTGCAGTGACCAGACAATCCAGGTTTATTAGACAACAGCCAGTGTATTCTTACAAGGTGTTACACAAATTATTTATTTTTGTTGTGCATAGTTGTACATTCAGGAGTATAAAGGCATGTCAAACACAAGTTATTGCAGTAAGAGTAATTGCACATGAGGTACAGAACATGTGACACATGTGTCAGTGAATGTGAGTGAGTGTCTGTCAGTGAATGTGAGTGAGTGTCTGCCAGTGAGTGAGTGTGGGTGTCTGCCAGTGAATGAGTGTGGGTGTCTGCCAGTGAGTGTGGGTGTTTCAGTGAATGTGTGGGTGTCTGTCAGTGAGTGTCTGTGAGTGTGTGTTTCTGGGTGATTGTACGTGTCTGTCAGTAATTGTAGGCATCTGTCAGTGAGTGTGGGTGTTTCAGTGAATGTGTGGGCGTCTGTCAGTGAGTGCGTGTGTCTGTCAGTGAGTGTCTGTGAGTGTGTGTGTGTGTCTGTCAGTGAGTGTCTAAATGATTGTGTCAAATCAGTGAGTGTATGTGTGTGTATGTCAGTGTATCTGGTCCGTGAGTGTGTTTCTGTCAGGCAAAATTTGTATAAGTTAACAGGAAGAGGTGTGGCCTTGGCAGGAAGGGCGGTGCATTTAAATTAGGGGGTGCCCGAGATCTGTCATGCCTAGGGCAGCACCATTTCAAAATACACCACTGACCTTGGGTCTTGCCTGGTGTGATAGACTCCAGCTTCTATTGATCTGGTGCTGGGTGCCTATTGTTGTGCTGCTTGGTGCCTCAGTGCTGCCTTTTCCAACCACTGGTAGAATTTTGTCATGTGAGTCATATCCACTGTCTGCCGGTGGTACACCCCATGTCTTGC